CCTTAATGAAAGGAGAAGAGAAGAACATAAAGAGAATAAATTGGCAAAGTGACAGATCACATGCACGTGAGCAGGGAAAGGATGTCATCAACCTTTTGTAGGCTCTGACATCCTCTGACATGGTGTTCATACAGAGTTACATTGCCAGAAAAATGGTGCAGTGGGGGAGCACAGCGAAGGTAAGAAAGATGAGAAAAAGCAGGTTGTCATCGGCTTGTAAGAGACTGTAACTCCACCTACAATGGACAAAGTGAGAGTCTCTCTAACTGGGTACTATAAATTAATAAATATAAATCTCTCAGTCATTTATATAAGCCCAACATGACTCCCCATATAGCACCTGTGATATGCCACTGCTTGAACTGATGCGGGTAAATCAAGTGAAGTTAAACATGATGTGGAAATAGCAGACTAAGGTCCCTATTATATGGGCACCTGTCAATTCCAATCAGCAGGAGATATATACCCTACTGATTGGAGCAGTTCAGAACGAATGTCACCAATGTGACGTCTGTGTCCGATTAGTTTTTCCTCCATCTTCCAATGGAGGAAAAAACTGAACATACCAAACCCATATTAGGACTATGAGGAGTCATATATAAATGCCCATGTGCCTGTGTACATCAGATTACCCCCAATCCCTTTTGATCAGGTCCGCCAAAACGGAATTCCGTTCCGTTTTGGTTTTCCAGACCCGGCCAGAGTCGGGGATAATCAAATGTTAACAGATGCACGTTCGTTTAGATCCAACTGCCCATAGAATAACATTCCACCTGAAAAACTGACAGGGGAGCCTGATTGGACTGCCAATTTGAAATGGGCCTAACACCAAGATGAGGACCAAGATAGAAAGTTTACATTGTAGCAATACATAGCTCCCAACTGTCCTTCTTTTGGAACCATATCCATCTGTCCCCTTTTCCTTTATAAGTTACCCTCTTTTTGGTGGGATTAAGCATTAAGCAAAATAAGCAGGTGCTTAGGACATGAATAGAAGAGGACATCCCTGAATTTCTCCCCTCGCTACTATGACCCTAATACTATATTATAGGTGTACTCACTTAGTGTATTAGTGAATAAGTGCACTATAAAATAAAGTGCAAGGGAGCTGGAAGGTTAAAAAGGAGCACATGTTGGTGAGTATAATTTGCTGGTGGGAGTGCTATTGAGAGGCACTGTTACCTTATCTTGAATGGGAATAATACAGTTTTCCATTCACAGACTACACTGCAAAAACCATATTTTTATCAGGATCATTTTTTTTTACTGTACAAATCTTATTATTCTCCTTGTTTTGTGCATTGTAAAGTTATAACTCGTCTTATTGCAGAAGCTGCAGAAAACATGAAACTTATCTTAAAATTTCTCTCTTGCTATATTCTTCCATTAGAATTTAACACTGCATCTATACTTGTCTGTAAATGTAATATGATAAGAACTACAAAAGTAGTAAAAATCAATCAAAATCTGTTACGTAATTATCTGTAAACAAGTCATAAAGAAAAATAGAAACTTATATGATCTACTTATCTGAGTGTTTCTTACTGCATCATGGAACAGTAATAGGGGGCCACAGTCGTCCCAACCAGTGCTATGTCAGCCTGTTTTTATGGGATATGGAAAGGAGTTTCACATTTCATCTAAAAACTGTTACAGGACAAACCTGTTCCTATTTGTTTTTATTATAAATAGCATCATTATTTGAAATGGGTCAGAGGCGGTTCTAAACAAGTTAATTATAAACTGCCAATTTAACGTTATTAGCTCTTAGAGTATTTTTCTGTTAACTATAGTGACAGAGACACTAATATTTCCAAGACTGATTTTCAAATCCCAGGAAGTGGCCTCATGTCTTCTCTAACGGCTATCCTGTGGTTCAATCATTCATCTTACATGGAGCTGCAACAAGCTGGCTGACTAACTATACTCAATGGAGATATAAAAAGAAACCTGTCATGGGAGAAATGTGGAGGCTTCCATTGCTCGCATCTTCTTCTGAATATTATGCTTGCCTGGCTGTCAGGCATATTTTCATACTTCAATGACCTTGGACAAGTATACAGATTAGGACTTTGGCTTTTCTGATCTGTAAACATGTTTTCATGTAGTGACTCAGAACATACTGCAGCCAGAGGGTCAGCACAACAGTCAAGCAACTCACATTCTCACATGGATGTCAGTATTGGCAGCCTCCATATTTTTATGATGGCAAACACATGAACACAAGCACAAAGGCCTGAATCCAGCCTTCAAGTGCACCTGTGATCAGACCATGACCATTAAGCTATTTACATATTCTTAGCAAGTAGTAAAAGAGCTTTCAATCAGCCCAGACTCACGTCTCTAGCTGCATGTACTGTGAAGTAATTCATTCTCGAAGATCTTGAAAGATCACAACAAAGATTCTGAAGTTAGGTTTCAAGCACCAGCAGGCAGCACTCGTTTTTTTACATTAGAAAGCTGACAGGCTGCCAAGTTAGTGCTGCCATAGAAAATAAGAGGAGAGGAGCTGTGATTTCAGTGTCCCTGTTGTGAACTTTAAATCATTTCTCTACAATGCTTATAGCTACAGACCTGAGTAAGTGCTGGCTGTGAAGTGTTTTACTGCTTTCTTAAGTATATGTAAATACTGTATTATGCCTAGCCTCCATGCAAGTGTTAATTTAAAAGTTTTAGAATTCATGCAATACCCACCAATTTTTTAATGTTGGTGAATTTTCCAAACTATGTGAGAGGAAAATGTATTGTGTCTTTGCTGCCAAAGAATCAGAACTGGGATTTATACAGTTTTGTAAAATGTTGATCAGGTTAATAGCAACTGCATAGGATTTACATTTGCATTAGCGTGCAGGCCTGTTTTTTCATGCCTGTACATGTATGTTCTGCTCTGAATGTACAGCTAGTTTTGCTTTCCCTACATTACCCTATTTATATAAACACGATTGCAGACCTAGGCCTCATTTATAATTGCAAATGTACAACACAACGCGCTTATAACGTGCAGGTGTGAATGGTGCCTTAGAGCTACATGTTTTCCTTTGCTAATATATTTTCTAATTAATGCTGCATGTCAAAGTGCTATTTTCTTGATGAGTGCTTTTAATTAAAGGAACTTCAAAATGATACCTTCTCTCCTGCATATCTATATACTAGATACTCTACAGTCTCAGGGGCCCTATAACCATTAGATGGCCATTTCTGGACCTGACCTTTTTTGGCTGGATTCGGAGACCGCCTAAAGTTTAATAGGCAGTCCATCACAGCTTTGAACAATCATTCTTGATCAACAAGTGCAAGATTTTCTGACTTGCCTATCACTGTTTGTTTACCCAGCACTGGGAATGCGGCGTGTCTTCCCCTCTAGGTACCCAAGTGTTAAAACTTGTTCAAAAAGATGTTAGACAGTTAGATGTTAATAACTGGATACTTTTCAAATTTAGGAGCCTGAGCTTAGGGTGGTTTGCATGTCAGGAAAAGCAGAAGGAACCATTGGCACGCACCATGCCAAAATGGAGGGTAATAGCAATGCACATAGTGCGGCCAAATATGGGGCTAATGATGCTGTGGTTTGTTGGTTAATGGCCTGCAGGAGATTAAAATATATAGTAAAATGGTCTGTTCAGCAAACTTCACTTGACAGAGGCAACAAAGTGCATTCCTGATGATACCTGCACAACAAATGAGCAACAAATAGGCAATCATGGCAATACGTAGACAACAGTAGTGATAATATGAGCAACAAACTGGCAATTGTAACAATATGTCAGCGACATATGGGAAATTGTCACAATATGAGAGCAGCAATATTTGAGCAAAAAGTCATGATAATATGAGAGCAAGAAATGGGCAACTGTGTCAATATGCAAGCAACGAATGAGGGTTCAAGGAAATACACAGGCAACAAAAGGGCATTGTGACAACATGTGGTAAATAACAATAACAGCAACTGTGTCGTCCATAAGAATCAAAATAGTGACGTCTAGACATGTGCAATTCGTTTAGTTCAGAATTGGAATTCGTACGAATCTTCAGAAAATCATACATTTGGGTGCATCTGAATTTCCAAATGACAGAAATAATGAACATTTTGGATGCATCCGAATGTACGAATTTCCAAAAATTTGTACGCATTTGAATTTGGATTTTTGTTTCTGTGGACTGTTAACCAAAAAATGTTTTTTTTTCTTTTCTCCATCACTTTGCTCTAATAAATATTTGTTCTCAATTAACGAATATTCGCCCGAATCCAAATCCTGAACCGGATTGACTTTTGGACCCGAATCCCGAAATAACAAAAAATCTAAAATGAAACAAAACAATTTTTTTGCCATCTTACATGTCTAGTGACAACAATTCTGACTATAACAGTGATAAAAACCCCTCTTTCCCGTACTTTTACTTCAGGCAAATCCTCATGGAGATGCTTCAGTGCTGCAGAGGCCAATCACAAGCTTCATGTATCCAGGAGTGTCTGGAGGAGGATAGAGTAAAACCAGCAGCTCCTCCAGATCTATCCTCCTCCTGAACATTGGCTCCCGGCTCCTAGTTTACAGGAGCATTGACACTGCCATCACTACTCCCAGCTGTGCAGATCATGCATGCATATTCTGACCATTCTTTAATGTCTATGACCAGTTTTAAATTGACATTAGTGATGTGTAGTGAGAAGATTCAGCAATTGTTTGCCAAGTCAGGTAACAAGTATTACACTGATATGACAAAGGTCATTTCCAAGTATATCCGATCCTATTAATATAAAATATCTGCAAACATGCCCAGTTATAGGAGAGGGAGGGTGTAAATATCATATCATATCATTTATAATATGTGATGTAATTCTGTGCCACCGCTTTAACTTTCACATCTCAGAGAAAATCAATAAAGTAACTGATTGACAGAGTGGTTAGGACATGTCTCGTGTTGTATTTATTTAGCCAGTTCATTCTCCCAGTGAAGGAGCTTTGAGCTGTGACTGACAGTGATCCCGGTGTACGAGGAATTCCGCTTATACGGTAAGATCGTATAATATGCAGTTACTATGTGAAAACCAAAGATTTGATATTTGTATCTCTTAATATCCAACAGCTGTATGTTCTACATCTGTTCGTAAATGTGCCACATGTGTAGCAAGGTTCCAATGTGTGATATCGGGTTAAGCCCATATAAAAATCATATTCACTGAGTAATGAGCAGTGAAAAATCAGTGGTATAGGCTCCTTGGTAAATCTACTCTGTGCCGTGTGGCAGATTCAGTGTGGCCAAGGCCAATGTTGTGTGGCAATAATCTGAACACTGATAGACTCTATGGAAATAGTGGTGCATGTCCAAGTTCACTTGCATTTAAGGAGCCACATACATACATGAAATAGTCACAAAACATTAAAGATGTCTTAATATATTTTCAATCTCATATCAGTCTCACATTTCAGAAGTTGTTTTCAATCACTTTAAAAATGCAGCTTTCATTAAACAACACCTGCTGATCCCCCAATGAAGGTCCTTGTTCAGACACTTCCTGGTATAGGGTGACAACCCTCTGTTCCTGTCTCCCAACTGTGTTTCTGAGTTGTCACCAGATAAGAGTGTGCCCCTGCTAAAGACTAGAAATGTCCATGTTAAATCACATTGTACATGCATGGTTCACCTTTGTCACTGTCAGGAAACTGGTCCTGAACAATGATGCGCAGTTGACAATGGAGTGCATGTAGACAGGAAGTGGCTCCCGTGATGGACCATAACTTTAATACATATTAGCTATTTTCATGTCAGATTGTAGTCCATCACAGGAGAGTTTTGGATCAGTGACTACTTTACAACACACACAGGGACCATGGGGAACAAAAGTAGCCCCCCCCCCCAGAAGGAAGGACAGTGTCAGCACCAATTCAGAGATGATATGAGGATCTACGGCTGAGTGATACACAAATAAGATACATTTTTGTTAATAGTTAAGGGCCATGAATGTATTTTAAGATTTAACTCCTGAGTTTATTGTTACGTTAGGTTTGAAAATAAAAGTATTTTTTTAGGTAGCTTTAGCAGCAACACGTGATGTCTCAACAAGTGGTAATAGACAGTGCTCAGTTTCCCATGTATTCTTCATCAGTAGTTTGCCTATTAGTCCTAGCAATGACTAGTATTTACTAACAGGATTTGCCCCTATAGAATGCAATGGGTTTGCCGCTAAGTTCAAGATTTTCTCATTCCTACTATACACAAGTTCAATAAACCACCAGGTATTGATTGACTGTGAAGTATAAACTGAGCAGTAAATCTACAGCTTAAATGCAGTTTATTAAAAGATCAAACTGGAATAGAATTGACATGTGAAAAAGCTACAGCAAATTCATTGAAAGCTTTTAAATATTTCAATCAGGGCAATCTTCATCCCATCTCCATGCAGTTGATCAAAATCATTTAATGTCTTGGATTGCTTTACATCTTCAACAAAAATGTAACTGAAAGTTTAATTGCTCTCTCAAACAGCCAAGTCCTACTACACCTGAGGACATTAGTTGCATAATGATTGATAAACTGCTGAGCAGGTTATGTAAGTTGTTGTGCACATTTTTCTCATGAATTCATTTTTAATATTACAGCAAATACATATGTTTTTATTAAACAGAAAGCAGATAGGAAAAAAATGGCTGCAACAATCAGAGACCATGGAGTAGAAGTATGTGTTCCAGAGTTTGTACAGATGAATAACCTGGCCTGTGAGTCTGTTGGAGGAAAGGTAAACATGAGAGTACAGGATGAACGCTCATCAGATCTGAAACACTCTGAACCCAATTCCCTCCCTCTCCCCTCTCCCCCCACCCCGGGGGCCCCACTGTTTTTTTTATACTTGCCTTTTCCAGATGTCTTTTGGTTGGTCACATGATGTACAAGGTCTTCTTCCTCTTTGGATCTTCTCCAGCGGTAGGCTGTCCTCAATGATGTAGAGAGCAGAACTGATGTGACAAATCTGCATTATTGTATATGAATGCAGGGCACCATGTAGGGTCTGTGATGCCTTGCGCTCACAGGACGTTCTGTAACACTGGGAGTCATTCAGCCCGGAAAACTTAGAACCTCTAGTAAGTGAAAGGAATTAAGACACAAAATTGGAGAGGAAATTAGTATTGTAGCTTTTTTTGAATTGCTCTTTTTGCTTTAAACCCCTGATAAGAGACAAGCATGTGTTGTAAATAAGGGCTAGAGCTAGGAGCCAATCAGGCTCTCCTGCAGCTTACATGTGCTGACTTGAAACATGCTGACAGAAGAGAAGAGCAGAGTGGTGACTCTTTAGTGTGCTGCTGCTCCTACATTGTCCAATCAGTCTGGGGTGTGTTCTTGATCAAACTGTGGAGGTGGAAGGTTTGGTTGTGTTGTCTGGAATGATACATGAATAGCAAACTCGGGGGCATAGAATTACATACCTTTTGACAGATAAAACCGGTCATGTACAGCATATGTATTTGATCTGTTTATTTATCTGTCAACCCTCACCATCACAACCACCCCAAGCTTGTGCTCTGGCTCCTAGCTCTTGCCTCTCCAGTCAGCTATGCCTTCTCTGCATCTGTTGCACTGTTCCATTGTCATTTGCTGCTCCCCTATCCCCTCCAAACCTGTCATGAATCACTTTGACTCTGCATCATCTATTACCCCCGGTCCACAACCAGCTCCCATTCTGCCTCCTCAACTACATCAAGTCTAGGCTTAGCCACCATTCAGTCTTCTTGTTCTTCCATCATGGTTTGTGATCAGCTCAAACTCAGCATATTGTGCCATTGGACTATGATAAGCTCCAGCTCTGCCTTTACTCCCATTTGTCTATGATAAAATCCCTCTATACCTTCTATACCCCCAGCTCAATGTTCAGCTTATATTCTGTCTGCACCCGTGATCAGTTCAAGTGGGGTTAAACACTAGACTATTACGTATCCAGCTAAAATATTGTCTGATTGGCCAGTGATGTTTGCCCATGTGTTATATATTTCTCAGAGGCCCAATTTTTTTAGAATGAATTAACCTTTTAATGATCGGGAACACATTTGCTAGCAACAGTAAAAATTGAGACATTAGTCTGTATAGGTTATGTAAGGGCATTCTTTTCCATTTAAAAAAAAAAAAAAAAACATAATATTTTCCTATTCCTTTTTTTGAAATTGTGAGCAGTGAAGCTTGCAACATGTACAGTACATAAACAAGTTATTTTTGGAGTCCAAGTGTTTCTGTCCAGTGACCTGAAAACTCTGCAATGTTAAGTATTAACATACTGCTGTCTTAAAGTTATCTAAAAAACCTTTCTTGCAGAAACCTTTTTCATTCTTTAAAGGTACACTTCAGTCAAAAGTAAAAAGAAAATTATATCTAAACCCCAAAATATAAATGTCATTTCCTGACATCTGCATGGCATCACACTAACAGGTTAACCTCACCTCCTAAAGTCATAGGACCATATATAAATAAATGTCTGTTCCCCCTGGAGGGCCATGTTCATGTTTGGCTTTCTCCTGTGATCATAAAGTGAAACATGAAAATGAGTGAAGATCTCCTTACCTACCACAATAATCCTTTAGCAAAGTCTGCTGCTAAATAGCCAAGTGAAGGTCTTCTGATATGCCTCCAATTAAGTCATTTCAGAGGGTTCTGGGTGGATGGTCCTCATAAAAATTGCCCCCTGCTAACATCATGGTATGGTGAGATTGCTTCTACAAAGGTTTACTTCTCAATCCAGGTTTGCTAATTACGTTTTGCTAGTGAGTTTTGCTAGTTAAGAAAATGCTTGAAGCCTTAGAGTGCAAGTGGAATACACATTGTGAATTCTACTAAATGGTCTACCATTTCCCCCTTCCCCGGTCACAACAGTAGTGCAATCTGATTGCAGGGAAAACCTTTACCTGATATTGTTCCACCTAAGTAGCTGTGAATAGAAACAGCTCTTTTCTTACCAACTATTTGCTATGGCACAGTTAGGTCATTGATTATGTACCATACCTAGTCAACCCCATTCATACTGTTCCTATGAAACAGTCACCTTATGAAGACTATCCAGAACAAAGAAGGTAAGGACCATCTGGATAAGTATTAACTACATGTTTGTTGTACCTTGGATTAAAAATATAAATGTGGTCTTAGACTTGCTATGCCTGACCAAAGATCAGGACAAGCATCAAGAGGCAGAAAATCCAGACAAATACATTCAGCACCCATTCCTCATCACCGGACGTGGGCAAGGTCCAGATCCCCATCAGCATATTATAGTAAGAGACATTGAGCATGTCTCGACAGGGGGGCACTGAATAAAACACAGTGAGAATTTTTTATTTGAGGCTTTGTTGGAAAAAGACGCGGAGAATAAGCAATTGGTATCCCTTATAAAGCAAGTTGTACAAGATATTTTGAAAGAGTTTGCTATATCTTCTACCTCAAGTTATACAGTTTCTGACACATTCATGACACAAGCCATAGACTTCCGCACAGATCATCTTGGTTGGTTGGAACCCACCAACCAACATTCTTCAGATGAGAATGTGTAGAATCAGTATGTGGCAGCAGGCTTTGACTTTTTGCTGATTCAGCCTAATGAAAAACGTATAAAACAGCCTTGTAGTGGGAGAAGTCACCTCAGTCTCCTAGAAGTCAAAATAAATGCAATAAACATCTTTAAAAGGACCACCCTTTAATGTATGGGGTAAAGAAAAGACCTGGTGTGGGATGGGTTACAGTGGAACACAAAACCCTCTCTATACAATCTCCTGGCAAAATGATATCCTCTAAAGAAGGATGAAATCAAGCACCTTACCATCCCATTGCTAGTTGATGAATCACTTATGTGTCTAATGAGACACATCACTCTACCTATAGACAAAGTGGTAACATATAACGATATTCTCCACCAGAAAATAGACAAAGATCTTAAGAAAAGTTACTGTATCTAGCATCAGGAAACGCCTTCCTGCCGGCAGTTGTGATATCAGCAGTGAAGGCCAAGAGAGTGTGGCTTAATAACACTAAATCTGCAATCCATTAGAAATGCATATGGATAATTTCCTCATTAGAGGAATTGAAGTTGACAAGATAGTATGTAGGAGAGGCAGCCATAGATATCAGAGCGCTTCCTCATGCTCCATGATGTTCACAGTGACCTCAAAATAGCACTATGGCTAGGACATTGTGTGTCTGACCTTTCCTCCAACAATGATTGATGTAAAATATCCTATAAGGGTAAAATACTGTTTGGGGACAAACTAGATGCAGCCATCTCCAAGCGACCAGGAAAAGCCGCAGACAGGCGCATAATAAGAAAGAAGAGGTGCCAACCAAGAAGAATTATGGTGAAAAAGGAGCGTGGTACCAGAGATTATAAAACTGTAAGAAACTGGAAATCAGCAAAGTCCTCTTTTCAGGGGGCCTCAAAACCATACAACGTTCCAGCTAAGAAAACTCCAAGTACTTTTGAAATTGGGGCCACCCAAGACTGCCTGGCGGGAGTAAGATTTCTACACTTCAGCCAGGTTTGGGCAAAGATCTTTTTTTAAACCCTTGGATAGCCAAAAAGTAGTAGTAGGTCACAGTTGGTATTTCTGACGCACTACAAAAAAATCTATTCATTCCAACCCATCCACCCCATCCAAGAAAGATGTCTTACTACAATATGTACTCAATTTCCTTATTCAAAGAGCAGTTGTGAAAGTACATACAAAAAAATAAAACAAGATGGAGCCGGTGCAAATTATAGTTATCTTTCTGGGTGATTTGATGCTGCCTATAGTCTTAAAAGAGACCTACCTGCATGTGCAAATCGATCCTTTTATTTAAAAGTTTCTTGGATTTGCTGTCAGAGAAGAACATTAGCCGTTTGTTTGCCTACCCTTTGGACTGTCCACATTCACATGTACCCTTTGTAAAGTAATTCTAGTTGATATCACCAAGCTCAGACTGCAAGGTATAAAAATATTTCATTATCTAGATGATGTTCTAGTAGTGGCACAGGACAAACAGACTCTATTACACCATCAAGATCAGGTATTATGCACTCTGAACAAATCCGGTTGGCTAATAAATTACAAAAAAGCAACCTAACACCCTCCAAAATCCTAATATACAATTGAGTGCACTTTATTACTAGAATAACCTCCATCTCACTACCAGAAGAAAAAATCCCAGTTATTCAGAAAAGAAAAACTGGAGTTCTCATGGCTTCTCAGCTATCTGCAAAAGAGTGCCGCAGAATAGTAGTAGCCTCGGTGGCAATGCTGATGACAAGATGGGTGCAGTGGCAGCTTTGTTACTTTCAGTATGGCTTCCTCTGCAAGTAGAAAAAAGCAGCCTCAGACAACAAATAACCATTACTTATAGAATGAGAACCAGTCTATGGTGGAGGGCCTACGGGGAGAACTTTGTTGAACTTTCACACCCTCCTCCCCATCTCTTGGACAGTTCTGTACAGCATTGCAAGCACCAGAGAATACGGAGCCTACTGCCAGGGCAACCTAACCCAGGACAGATAGCCATTCATGGAATTATAAGCAGTATGGGAGGTTCTGCAGGATTTTTCCTGTCTTCTAAGAGGGTGATACATGAAGATGCAGTTGGAAAACAGAACAGCAATTTATTACATAACAAAGCAGAGTAGCTTGTACACTCACCTCTTGCTCTGGTAAAACTCAAACATTTTGGATTTCCCCATCCTTTTTGGTCAGCAGGACAAATCGAGAGAGTAGGGCCACAACTAAAACATTTTACCTTTATATGCACTAGTTGGCAACCCCAGGAGCCCTCGTTTGCTGCAGATTATATAATGGAACTGCTAAGAGCTAAATACAAAGTACTGAATTTCATAAAAGAGTGAGAATTGCCATGGGCAATTTGCATAGCCAATCTGTGTAACTGCATGGGTGCTGTAGGTGAATAGGCACTTAATGAGACTGTAGGATCTGGTTCCATATCTGCATTGGTCATTTCACTTGTAAGATGTGGTCAGGGTCACGTTTTATACTGTCAAAATGTTACTTCTGAGCAGCACTTGCAGAATATATGACTCAAGCTGTGATTATATAGTAAATCTTGCATAAAATACAAAACTGCTTATCTGCTGAGGTTTGTCTATCCATATGTAAAGTTCCTAGCCTTAAACATATAACAGGGAATATGAGAAAAGTAGCTTGCAGAACTGACATTTTGCATTTTTAAATTTAAAATGAAATAATAGAACTAAACTCCAAAAGGTAATTTTTTTTCACTGCATTTTCAAGACTACTTGACTAATTTTCTAATTTCATGTTCTAGGTGTTATTTGCAACTGACGATTGGTTTGCTGCTGCAGAAAATTTATTGAAAGTAAGTTTTAAAAATCTTTCTGCATATTATTTTTATTTCAAGAAAAAATATTAGGAATGTTTTCTAAGATCCAGCAGTCAAGTAAGTGTTTTAATTTTAATTTTCTTTTAAACCTGACCCTTTCGGTTTGATTTATTAAAGAAAAAAGTACATACAATTGTGCAAGAACTAGCTGTTGTAGCATGCACTGCTGCACAGATTCCAATGATAAATACTCATAAATACGCTCTTACCTATGACAGCTTAGTGTACAGATTATTTAGCATGTTCTTTAGCTTGGAGTATGTGTGGTTCATTGTTTAGTGAGCCAGTAACATTCATTTTTATTTTAACTTCAATTCATTTTACAGAAAAATGTTGGCAGGTGCATTCTGAGGTGCACCATATATGAGCAAAGGCACAGAGACAACATTATTTGGGTGTTCAATGTGCACACCACACTAAGGCTGTACGGTATGCACCAAACACCAGTGTACAATCGGGTAGATCGAAGCAAAAAAACACAAAAAACAAAGGGAGACACCTTCTCCTCGTGCATTAATACAAATAAATGGAATTCAATCCAGAGTAAGAAAACTACTCAAATATTGTAAATATATGCCAGAAAACCTTCAAGATGCTCCAAATTGCAATACTGCAATAATCCAGAAAAAGGACCATGAAGAGATGTGCCTACCAACTGACGCGTTTCAGGGAAATGTCCCCTTCCTCAGAGTTTAGCCCTTCCTTAGAGCTCTGAGAAGGTGCTATCTCCCTTTGTTTTTTTGCATGTATCTTGAGGACGTTTCCCCGGTGGCCTAAAGGACAACTGCCCTCCTGTGTGTCAGTCATCTTCAAAGATCGCCAAAGGGAACTCACTTATGGTTTTCTGAGCACTGGAAGAGTGTGACTGAAATCGGGTAGATAGGTTCAGTGGCTGTGGTCATTGGTGTGTGCATGGTGGCCTAGAGTACCCCAATGCTTTTTATTTAGAGAATCAGGCCCTGTTAGTCAATTTTTTTTTATTAGTTAGTGCTACCAGCTTGGATCCTGTTAACAGTCTAGCTCCAGTATTCTCTAATGATTGCAATGTACACATAGGCACTTACTCTTAGTGGGCCCTCTCCCCCACTGCTTCAACTTCTCAACCCAATCAGCCAGGGTTCTTCCTGCACCTCTGCACTGCGGACCACATCCACTGGAATAGCCACACATTGCCACGGTCTCCATTTAATAGAATTTGCATTGAAAAAAAATGAAGGCCGCAATGCACATGAACAGGAGCCACACCGGCAGACTTTATAGAGAAGGCCGTGCAGCACTAAGATCTTGAAGGATAGGAGAGTTCAGTTATAAAAAAGCTGGTGGGGGGCTTTCTAAGGCTAATTGATCTGGAATAAACACATTAGCAGTTACATGATTATGTTTGGTTACAAATACATCATGAAATAAAATGCATTATCTAAAATAGCATTTTGATATTTGTATTTAGAAAAGTGACCCAGAATTTAAGGTTGGCCTCTTTACAGAATATGGCAAATGGATGGATGGTTGGGAGACGAGAAGGAAGAGGATTCCAGGTAATATATAGTGATATATAGACATAGGGGTATATGCCCTATGCCCACATATGTACATAGACACCCTATACCTAAGTGTACCTCACCATTCAAATGCAGAGAGAACTGACCTAGATTTCGACCAGAGGATGAAATTATAGGCTTGGTTCTAAGTAGGCCACAGTTGTCTTCCTGACAAAAGCAAGCAGCCGGGTTGGGGATTTCTAATGCAGCTAAGATCAGGAGAAGTAGGGAGGGTGTACGGGTGAAGATCATACTTCTTTCTTCTCCTTTTGGATTCATAATTATTGAAAGCAAATAAACTGCATTGTACTTGCACCTCCGGTCTTCAGTGGAGTGTCCTTGTTACAATATATACAGTATATATATTTTCCTCCTGTAATTTACGACAGGAAAAAGGGTAAATATCAAGCACAATAAATAAGATCAGCCAGCCCAGCACTGGTAGGGTTAATTATGGTAAACATAGCAAAAGGTAAATGTAATTGTGACATATACAGAGTAGTGCTTAAATCAAATCACTGAGTGCTCTGCCCCCAAAAGATGGTGCAAACTAAAAGGAATACGTTGAACTACTCGAGCACACCAGTGGACTTTGCTTACAAAAGTGTCAAGTGGAACATAGTGTCAAGTGGAACATAGAGAACATAGTAAATTGCGTTTTCTTCTGTCAGGTCATGATTGGTGTATTATTGAACTGGGCGTTCCAGGGATAATTTATGGATTTCATGTGGACACGCAATTCTTCACTGGAAACTACGCTCCTCAAATATCTGTCCAAGCTGCATGCTTGCAACCAGGTAACTGGAATTTCCTATAAAATGGATAGATCCATTGTTTTAATTAATTTATATGGTGATGGAACTTACAAAGTTAGTCAGGCTGAAAAAAGACACATGTCCATCGAGTTCAACCTATAGAGACTTGCTACAGGCCCAGAAAAATAACTTGCTGTAGTCAAGGTTGAATATTGAAGATAAGCCTTATAGTTTTCATGTTTAACCACCCCATGTCTAAAATGTTTTGAGAGAATTCATACCTGGAAGACCCTGCTGTAGCGGGGAACAACAAACTTCTCCCCACTCGCTTGTGCACTTTCCCAGTTCCCTACTGCAGTTATTGCAGCCTATCTGCGGTGCTGAGGCCCACCAATGTTTGCAATACAACAATGGTCTTTGCTTATTAATATATATGCCAGCATGTAGTATCCAAATGGTTGTTTATATTTCTTCATATGCTGCTCTTGAAAAATGGACATGAGACGTATTAGTGGGTGCATTTAGAAACAGGACAGTGCTTTCAGAAATGTGATAAATACATTTGATCCAATCATTTTTTCGGGCATAATGTATAAATTGTGCCTTTTACCCAGAAATGATGTTTTAGAACAAGCACAGCTATGAACACCATTATGACCAAGCGCCTGCTTGAAAAAATATTTGTTAATTTCCAAAGCTAATGATGGCAGCCAGATGTTACGGGCTCACTCAGATGGACGTACACATCCGTATGATGCGTACGCACGTAAAAAGACCCGATCTTGGACGGGACAGGTCGTGTGTAATTGCACCCAGCAGCCTGTTCTTCTGCATGCAATTACACGACTGCATGCAATTACACACTTTCATATGCACACCCGAACCTGCACATCCATGCGGATCTGGGCATCCGCAGTTAGGCGCACACTGTCAGCATTCAAGTGCAGACACCTAGACCCACAGGGATGTGCAGGTTCAGGTTGGCGCATAATAGCATGCAGCAATGTCCTCCATAGGGAGGAACAGGCTGCTGTGCGCAATTACACACAGCACCTGTCCCATCCGGGATCTGGTCTTTTTATGGGTGTACACACCATACAGACATGTACGCCCATCTTAATAGGCCCTACAAATACTTGTTCCGTGATTTTTATTGTGATATTCGTCTTAACTAAAAAATGCAGCTGTAGTACGCTATAGTGAACGCTAGGTGACAGTGCATGTCAGTACACAATGACGTTCTAATGTTGTTCTGCAAAAGTAATTGTTGGTTCAAAGTGTTGTTCCTGTTAGATATTAAATATAGAGTTTGGTGCAGCAGTATGTCTCCTGGGTTGTGACTGTCTCCAGATATCAAGCACTAAAACTGTACAATAAAATATTATAACAGTGAAATATTCATGCTTGCATCACATTATCATGTAAAAAAAACAGTGTAATTGGCTGATACTTGAAGGCTGAAAAATAATTGAATTATTAACTGACATAACAACCTTAAGTAGCTAGCATTTTATACCTACTATAGATTTTACAACAAATGGTAACTGTACTCTCAATTTACAAATAAATAGTCAAATTACATGAGGGTCATAAGACATTTTTTTGCATAGCGATTTTAAAATGATCTGTCTTCAGGAAAAACAACATTGCTGCCACGTGGGGAAAGAATTGGATCTGCTGCCTCAGAGGAAGATTTTCAAATTGCAGAACAGGTAGGAGGAAAAGACACATTCATGTTAAAGTGCATAGAAAATCAATTAAAGGCAAATGGCATGTAGAGGTAACTTGGCTGACAAAGCCAGAATAACATTTCACAACCTACAAGAAAGAAAATGTGGCTCCTTCAGCTCTGCAAATTAACACTTAACACATTAACAACTATACAGTATGTCATGTCCTGTTGTGCTGATTAAAAAGAAACAATAATGATTCTGGTCATTATTTTTTGGATAGGTTGATTAAACGTTAGGTTACACACACATATATACTGTATACTGTATACACTATATCGCCAAAAGTATTGGGACACCCTTCCAAATCATTGGATTCAGGTGTTTCAAACACCTCCATGGCCACAGGTGTATAAAATCAAGCACCCAGACATGCAGATGCTTCTACAAACATTTGTGAAAGAATGGGTCACTCTCAGGAGCTCAGTCAATTCAAGTGTGGTACCGTGATAGGTTGCCACCAGTGCAATAAGTCGAAGCAACTGGGAACAACAGCAACTCAGCCACAAAGTGGTAGGCCACGTAAAATGAACGAGCAGGGTCAGCGCAAGCTGAAGCACACAGTGCGCAGAAGTCGCCAACTGTCTGCACAGTCAATAGCTACAGAACTTTAAACTTCGTGTGGCCTTCAGATTGGCACAACAACAGTGCATAGAGAGCTTCATGGAATGGGTTTCCATGGCCGAGCAGCTGCATCCAAGCCTTACATCACCAAGTGCAATCCAAAGCGTTGGATGCAGTGGTGTAAAGCACGCCGCCACTGTACTCTAGAGAAGTGGAGACGTGTTCCCTGGAGTGACGAATCACGCTTCTCTGTCTGGCAATCCGATGGACATGTCTGGGTTTTTTGGTTGACAGGAGAACAGTGCTTGCCTGACTGCATTGTGCCAAGTGTAAAGTTTGGTGGAGGGAGGATTATGGTGTGAGGTTGTTTTTCAGGGGTTGGGCTTGGCCCCTTAGTTCCAGTGAAGGGAACTCGAAAGGCATCAGCATACCAAGACATTTTAGACAATTTCATGATCCCAACTTTGTGGGACAGTTTGGGGATGGCCCCTTCCTGTTCCAACATGACTGCACATCAGTGCACAAAGCAAGGTCCATAAACACTTGGATGAGCGAGTTTGGGGTGGAGGAACTTGACTGACCTGCACAGAGTCCTGACCTCAACCTGATAGAACACCTTTGGGATGAATTAGAGCGGAGACTGCGAGCCCGGCCTTCTCCTCCTACATCAGTACCTGACCTCACAAATGCACTTCTGGAAGAATGGTCAAACATTCCCATAGACACACTCCTAGACCTCGTGGACAGCTGTCCCAGAAGAGTTGAAGCTGTTATAGCGGCAAAGGGTTGGCCAACTCAATATTGTAGCCTACGGACTAAGACTGGGATGTCATTACATTTCATGTGAGTATAAAGGCAGGCGTCCCAATACTTTATATATTTATTAGGGATGTCCCGATGCCACTTTTTCAGGCCCAAGTACAAGTACATCCCCTCATGTACTTGCCGATACCAATTACCGAGACTTTTTCTTAAAGGGACAGGTGACTTTAAATGATCCAGCCTTGGAGATAAAGGATGGGTCATTGCCATGACTCATGTAATGTCCTGTGTTTTTTTAACAGGCTGTAAGAACATCTTACCATGTAAAAAAACTGGGTGCTCCACCTGCTGGCTAAAAATACAAATTATTAACATGCATTATTTCCTATTTACCTGACTAAAAAAGAAAAACATTTTTTATTATTTATTATTATTTATTTTTATTTATTTATTTCAGACATGACCATAAAAAAAAAAAAAAATGTTAAAACACTATACATTCTCTGTAAAACAAAAGATAAACCTTTCCTAAAAGAAATACACTTTAATGAATAGGAACAGTAAAACAAAATGGACTCTTCAATAAAGTGCAAAAATGTAGAGGAGAGAATGCCAAAAAAAAATATTTTTCCTAAGAAGGACACCTATTCAGAACATGAAGGAATTAGTAAACATGTTTCCCTCTTTCCTGAAGGGTGACTTCAGCTATTGGATAACGTATTGATTCTCCAACCAATTCAGAGGAGCAGTGAAAGCTTTTGTTCATTATAGTATGTATATAACACACCATCTAATAACATAAGGAAGATACAAACAAATCTACATAGCAATCATGGTTTGGCAACAACTAGTTCTATGTTTTGTTTTGTTTTTTAATCAGGAGAACTTTAACAATGGTAACCTGTCATTCTCATTTGTTGCAATCAATCAATAAATGAGGTGTTTACAAATAAGAACACAATCAATTGACAAGCGGACCAGATGGCAGATTATACAGGAGGTATTCATCATGCTTCGGAAGTCATATCTGAAGAAGTGGTATTTCTGTCATATGTACATCATCGCCTTTAATACCGATACTTTTTTTTTTTTTTTGCCTATAAAACCTTGAAAAACCCAGAATGGTGTCCTCCACACTCAGCATATTTAACATTTACTATGCCAAGCTAAAATCATACACAAGTGTAAGAACTCAGAATCATACGGGTCAAAGGACATCCATTTGTATTGAATTGTATGCACAGGAAGGAAAACACTATTTAATTTTGAATGTAAAACCAAAACTGTTTTTGTATTTTAGCTTTAGTTAGATTGAGAAAGAATTTGAACCCCTATCAGGTTTTACTGCTATTTGGGGCTTTATTAGAGAGTCTTCCTCCACTCTCTGTCTTGTTGACAACGTTTTATCAGACAGAAAGTGAGAGGTAATCTGCAACTTAAATATTTGTTTTAAACAGAACTCTGGATACAAAAATTTATTACCCTTGCAGTGGGGCTACCCACACACTGCAAGGGTTAAGTGTTCCTTTTTGCCTAGGGTAAAAAAAAAAGTTATACACACCCAATCGTCCGAGGCGGCTTGCTCTTAGACTGTCAAGCAAACGTGACTGTGCGGCTTTCACATTTTCTGCAGAAGACGTGTATCTAAATCTCTGCTTTCAACCTTAGTGGTTAGACAGGTTTTTTTGCATGCTGGCTGGTAAGTGTGCCTGGAAACGTTTTGCTATTTTACTGTTTGAAGCCCTTCCATGTGCACCTTGCTGTAAAGCTGGTAACAAGTTGATGAGTGCGTTTTCCATTTGTTTTGCTTGACTGATTTGGTGCAGTGACGCATGGGGGGGTCTCAGCTGCTGTTGTGATGTGCGGGGTCCCTTGTGCGTACCTGCGCCTTTAAGGGAGTTTGGGCTTCCTCCTGACAAACCTGCACCCAATTTAATATTTTGCCCCATGTGCTCCAAGATGGAGACTCTCATAGTTTAGAGTTAGGACAGAAACTATATGGAAGTGCCTTGACGTGGCTGTGCGGCTTTCACATTTTCTGCAGAAGACGTGCAACTAAACCTCTGCTTTTAACCGTAGTGGTTAGACAAGTTTTTTTGCATGCTGGCTGGTGAGTGTGCCTGGAAACGTTTTGCTGTTTTGCTCTTAGACTGGTCCCTGGAGCCTCCCTCCTCCTCCACTGCAGTGGTCTAAGGTCCCCGAATCATCACAGTTCATATACTGCCTATAGGACGTGAGGATGCAGAGGTACACACTGTTGCTGCAGCGGAGGAGGAGAGAGGAGAGTGCTGTCACAACCAGCCAGCTTGGAGGATTGGGAGAGTATAACCTTGTTATTTTTGACCCTAGGAAAAAAATGAGCACTTAACCCTTGCAGTGCAGGGGTAGCCCCACTGCAAGGGTTAATAACATTTTTACCTGGAGTTGTTTTTAAGAAGAATAAGGGAATTCTAGCACCCTCCTCAGCTTTTATTACAGTCTGTTGCCCTATTGCAAATTTTCCCTCACTTCCTATCTTGTGAATCCATTGATAGTGTGATTGTAAGTGAGGAAAAATCTCCCTAATGAAGCCCTGGATAGCAGTAAAATCCAATTGGGGTTCTAATTCTTCCCTTTTCTGTCCATATTTTGTTTTTTTAAGTTTTGGCTTGACATTCACTTTACAATTACTCACTCTACACAAAAGGTATTTTAGAATTCAATAGCAGATATTTCAGCTTCTCTACGTCTTGGATGCTTCAGCAGTAAGATCTCCCTACCAGATTTCCTTTGACTCGAGTCCTACACAATGGGGTGTGTTGGGTTTTACCATGAAATATATAATAGATTCAATTAAAAATGTAACTGGGAGATTGGAAACCCTTCATAATGGCCACAAATCCAAGGACTCGGGCACAAAGATCTCCCCAATAGAGCCCCTCAGAGATAGAGGAAACTAACAGATTGGTTTGGGGTGCAGTGATCCTTTAATTTTAAAAGCTCAGTTATGCCTCCAGCAGTTAGTATGGATAGGGGGCATTTAAAGCTGGCCATACACGCTAAACTGTGTGGATAGAGGAATCTCCCACTTGGTCAAGCTTCAGTATCTTGCTAGTCAGCCCCGCTGGCTCTCAAAATACCTGAATAATCTGATTGGATGCAGGCATTGATCGGGTATTTTGAGAGCCAGCGGGGCCGAATAGCAAGATACTGAAGCTTGGCCCAACGGGAGATTCCTCCATCCACACAGTTTAGAGTAGATGGAGGAATCTGTTGCAATTTTTCCATCTGACCATAGAAAATCTGCAGATAATCTCTAGGTGTATGGCCAGCTTAACCACAGGCCCTAGACTTAAAAATAACTTGACTTTCTAATAAGTAAACACAACAGTTTTTGCTCACTTTCTGACTGTGTGTGTCTAATTGAAACTTCATGTAGAGCCTTATGAACAGGAAAAGAGAGGGTATGCCATTGCTCTAAAGCATCCATCTGTGTGTATGCCCTGAAGATCAAATAACAGTACATTAAAAAGTGTCAATATGACTCAGCAAGATTGGTAGACAAAAAAAATGCAACTGTGCCACCTGCTGGCTGCAAGTGGTAAATGTGAAATATGAATAAACAATATTTTATAATATTTCTAACTATAAAGATAAAAAAAAAAAAAAAAAGGTTTCATTTTTTAATGCTGAACATAATAAAGAGGGAAAAAAATCATATACAAAAACACCATTTATGCTTTGTAATTTATGTTACCAACTTGTCCAATTGTACCATAAAATGTCCTTCAAAGTTTAACAGTTTCTTTTTTTTTTTTTAGTTTAAAACAGAAAACTGGGACTGTCCTTTCAAAATGACAAAGTTAAATCCAGGATACGGGGAGAGTTGTCACCACTACTTCCCTGTCAGAGTCTTTTAAAAATGACAAAGTTAAATCCAGGATACGGGGAGAGTTGTCACCACTACTTCCCTGTCAGCTCAAGGAAAAGATGGACGCATGTTCGCCTTAACATTTATCCAGGTGACTGGAACCACGCAGAACTGTGAGATGTTTGTCAGACATGATGCAGATTTCCGGGCTCTTCCTGGGATTTAATTTCTGCTGTAAAATGAATTCCAATCTTTTGAAGCTGCCGGTGCCTTGTGTCAGTACTGTCACAGATGAGCATTGAAGCTGATCTGTTACTTTTAGTTCTACTTATTTGTGTGTCAGATCTGCAGATCTTCTCTTGTTTACTCTATTTAAAGTCAGTGCAACATGCAGCTCCCTGCCCGACCAATGCTTTTCCAAACTAGTCGCCAATTGCCTGGCCGCTATTGAAGCTGTTTTTCTTGTTGTTTATCCATGTAACAGTCTTTGGATTGTCCCTGCAAATCCTTGTTTGCTGTCTGCACTGACCTTCAGCTTGTCCCCCAGTATCCATGTCTGCAGCCTGCCCTGACATTTGGTTTGTTCTCCGATATCTGTATCTGCAGCCTTGACCATCGACTCGTCTCCTGTTATTTATGTCTGCAGCCTGCCCTGAACTCTGGCCTTGTCTACCATCATCCACTATTAGCAGAGTAGGGTGAACCTAGGGGTTGCGACCTGGGGCCAGCATGCGGCACAATACATTTCCACCATCAAGCCCTCCAGTATTCCACTTCGTCCGGACCTTCAGTCATCTTCTGCCAAGCCCAGCTTCCAGTCTTAATACACTACTCGCACCTGTCTCACCAACTTAAGTGTTCCAAGAGTGTATCCCGGGTCCACATCCTTGAGTTTAATCCTAACACCTTGGTTCTTTTAACAGTGTAATGCAGGCAGTGGGGCACATAATTGTTCACAGAACTGTCCAATGAGCTGAACTGAAGAAATGCTAAAGTAGAAAGCTCAAAGGCAACACCCCCTTTTTTTGTATTTTATAATATTAGCACACTGTAAAATGTTTGATCACTTACTGTAAGGATCTCTGTGGATATCTTAATATCTTGTTTATATGTTTTTACAGATGGTGGGATAGCAAGATTTAAAGTGTATGGCATTGGACAGAGAGACTGGACCTTGTGTGGTCCAAACAATCTGGAGGATCTTCTGTCAATGACTAATGGCGGTGTCTGTCTTGGGTTCAGTGACGCACACTATGGACATCCTCGGAATCTCATAGGTATCTACAGAGCCATCTGATAATTGCCTTCATATGCTATAAATAATGGACACATCAGATTATGAAAATTAGTGAATATTTATTTCACTTTGCTTCATATGATTTAATTTCTATAAGTGTGTTGAATTATTATACAGGAAAAGGAAGAGCAGCTGATATGGGTGATGGCTGGGAAACAGCGAGAAGACTAGATCGGCCTCCAATAATAAAGGTAAACAAATAAACCAGATTATACATTAAAATAGATAAAAACCCTTCCAGAATGACACTGGTTTTGCTGCTGAACACTGAGCAGCATAACTAATTGCCTTGTTTTTTTTCTTTCAATTTTTTTTGTTTGCATTGTCTGAGCAATGAATGTTGGCACTGACCCTAATGATCTCCAATAGAAGTGTATATAACAGGGTAAAAACACAGCAGCACAATCGGGAGGAAGCAATAGATGTTGTCACCCTATAACAGAAAGTGCCTGAACAGGGATCTCTATGGCATAATTACCAGGAATTATTTCCTTGAAAGCGGCAATCTTAAACTAAAAAAATACTTTTCAAATTACATTAACATGCTAAAGAGTGCTACAATTTTATTGACTGGGTTTAAATCCACTTTAGACTTTAATCAGTCTTTAAGAACCACTGAGTTTGCTTGTTTCTATGTATTGACATTACTGTTGTCTATAATCTGAAGAGTTGGTTCTCCTCCAAAAATTCAGCCAAATAAAACATTAAACTTAAAGTTAGAGATGCTGCAATCAATGGGAGACATCTAAGGAGCCATTTGAACATAGGGCCCCTCCTAGCCTGTCTAGGGTACACAGTTCCATAGCTGCCCCAAAGCACTCACTGACCAACTAGTAGTGACCAGTTGGCTGACTTCCTGGCTGCTGATCTTTCACTGGCAGGACATTTATTGATAACATTTGAGATAGAGGGCTAAGGCACAGGACACACGGGGTCTTGTAGACTCCAGAAGGAGGAAAAAAGTACTGTGAATTCAGCTTTGTACTGTAAGATTCTGGATGTTGCAGCTACCAATTTCATTAGGAGATGTCACCATATCTCAGGCCAGGACCAAGCTTTTACCTAGCTCCTCAGGCAGAAGTTCCTCCATGACATTTCCATCCCTAGGCTTCATATACTAAGCCTCAAACCCAGACCTTAATCCTAGCACATGATCACCATTCTCTGGCAGCAGGCAGGAGGCTTGGGGAGACTGACTTCCCCAGATCACACTATAAATATTTATACCCTCTCCCAGATTGCACCACTGGCACAAAAACTACTAGTGATTGGTCATGGAGTTATAAACATTCTTAACTCTGATTAGTGCAGACTGCTACACTATTGCAGGGACATTCTCTAGCAGCATGCAGAAGCAAACTACACCAAAGCTTAGGAGAGACTATCTATCTAGGAGAGAGCTATTAACCAGTCAGACTGACAACTTCTAAATTTAAAGAGACACTCCTGCTTAGGGCAGGTTGGCTACAGAAAGCGGATAGGTGGTTAGGCCTGTCAAGACCTGTTATTATTAATACTGCATTATTGAAAATAGATGACGCTCCTCTGCTACATTTATTGGCCAAAATGCAGTACTACATTACATACATTTCACCTGAAAAGAAAAAAAAATCTAAGAGCATTTGCTTTTGAATCTGTTCAGACAGAATGAATGTTCAGAAAGCTTTGTAGGGTGAATGGTTCTGCAAATTGGTAATAAACAGACTCCTTAGTGTGGTTTGCATGTTTACATGGTGTATTAAATTTATACACCAATATAAAGAGACTGCATTGATACTTGAGTCTCAAAGAACGCCCAGTTATTAACAGCAACAACAGAGGAAATGAGGGTTAAAGTGTGGTGAGTAGACATTCTCCAACAGCCTAAGGTACACAAATCTTGCTACAGGAACTGCTACAAAGAACTGGATTAAACTCGCACTTGCAGTCAGTAGTTTAGAGCAATGGTTCCCAACCTGGGGTATGCGTACCCCCTGGGGTACACAGAGGTATACTAGGGGTACATCAAAAACCACTAATGGTGTAGGTGGTGTGGTCTGGGGCACATATTAACCTTCCTGGCGGTAATCCCGAGTGTGGCTCGGGGGTAAATTTTCTGTACCAAAAGCGGTAACCTCGAGCCACACTCGGGCGTCTTCTGGGTTCCTTCCCTGCGAGCACCGGCATTGCAGGGGGGCGGAACTGGCGAGAAATTCAAAAGTAAAACATAGAAAAAAAAATACTGAGTAGGGATGTCCGATGCCACTTTTTCAGGCCCAAGTACAAGTACAAGTACTTCCCCTCATGTACTTGCCGATACCAATTACCGGTACTTTTAAAATGACTTTAAATGATCCATAGTACAACTACATGTTCTGTACTATGGATCATCATTTAACCTATTCATGTTAGCAGCGGAGAATTGTAACTCTATTGCTGGAGTGTAGTGGAGGTATGTGCTGTATATATGTACTACATATACATTACACACGTCCAGTACACTATAGCAATAGATTTACAGCCAGCCCCGTCCCAGCTTCCCTTACTCACAGTTTCACTCCGATCCCTGTTGCCTCACGCGGTGCCTCTCGTAGTCGGCGCTGGGCAGGATCGCTGCATCGCATCTCGGTGCTCAGCTTGTGGGAGGCGCTCACAATTCTGCCCTGCTAATATGAATGGGTTAAATCATGATCCGCAGTACATATGTCCCGTACACTGCCGTAATAGACTTACAATTCTCCCCTGCTAACATGAATAGGCTAAATCATGATCCATAGTACATAACATGTAGTTGTACTATAGATCATTTAACCCATTCATGTTAGCAGGAGATCATTGTAAATCTAATGCTGCAATGTACGGGACATTTGTGCTGTATATGTACAGTACATATAGATATACAATTCTGCACTGCTAACATGAATGGGTTAAATGATCCGTAGTACAGGGCTACATATCATGTACTATGGATCATTTAACCCATTCATATTAGCAGAGGATAATTGTAAATCTATTGTTGCAGTGCATGCTATATGTCGTATATAGTACTTGTACATATAGAGTGCACTGCAACAATACATTTACAATTATCCTCTGCTAACATGAATGGATTATATGATCCCTAGTACGGGGCTACATATAGATCATTTAATCCATTCATGTTAGCAGAGTATAATTGTAAATGTATTGTCTGCACTGTATGAGCAGTGTGTACTCTATATGTACTCTATATGTAGTACATATAGAGTATATACTGCTAATACATCTAATACAGTGCAGAGAATACATTTACAATTAAACTCTGCAGCATAATAGTGTCCAGTGGGAGGAGCTCCAGGTGGTGTCCTAATTTAGCTGGTTTAGAGGTGCCGGCCAGCGAAATTAGAATCCCACCTGTAGCTCCTCTCGCCGGACCAGCGCTGACTCGCCGCTGCAGGTTTTTTTTCCTTACTTACCTCGCCGAGCGTCGCGTCACTGCTGCTCTGGTGGGCGGCGCTCCAAGCGGGGTCATCTGGCAGTCTCTGGCTACCTAAATTAGGAGCCCACCTGGAGCTCCGCCCACCGGAGCAGCAGTGACGCGACGCTCGGCGAGGTAAGAAAAAAAAACAAAAAAACAGCTTCGGGGCTAGGCATCGGGGCATTTTGACAAGTACAAGTACTTGTCAAAATGCCCTGTATCGGGCCCGATTCCGATGCTAGCATTGGTATCGGGACATCCCTAATACTGAGATAATCATACCGCCAGGGAGGTTAATACTTCAGTACTATAGAAGGGAAGGCTGAACTTGTTTAGTTAGTTCTGTGGCTGCGCTTGGTTTACTGCCACACGGAACTTCCATTGTTCTCCTCAGTGTAGTAAAGAATGATGTCCTCCCCAATGTCTGCTTGATAGTTCTGGCTCTGACATCAGAGCCAGTAGTTGCCAGGGAGAAGGAGATGGAAACAGAGAGCGTACAAGCACAAGGCAAAGGTACCACATGCATGCATACTGGGACCCCGAGGGAACAGTGGTGACTGGGGGACAGTGGGGACTGGGAGCACTACAGGCATAGCGATTTCTATGGTACATGAAAAATCACACAAGAAGACATTATAATTTATATAATGTTGTATGCTGCAGTACAGAACAAATGTACAATATGTGGTTATACCGGTAGTAGTAAAATCTGTATTGTATTTACAGTGAAAGCTTGCTTTCAACATATGCATTCTTCATATAATATATATAGATGCATTTGTTAAAAATGCAGCCCCAAAACCCCAGGGAGCCTCACATCCAGGAAAATTATTTTGGGCAAGCTGCATCATTTATTATTAGCCCCTACTCAACCCTGGTTCCACCCCCATAGTGGGTACAGTTTATGGACATGAACTGCCAAGGGGTACCCAGATGAAAAAAGGTTGGGAACCACTTGTTTAGAGCATTGGAATCTCTCATGTGAGCACTATTTTCTCATTCTTACTTCCTCCCACCACCCTTATCTTTCCTTCTGCAAGTAATCTGGAGCCTTTCTTTAAATTCTTGACTATAGGTTAGTGATATCTTCGTTAGATAGGCCTAGTATTCACTTCTTCAGTTTGTCAGTGACCCCTTGAAAGGATATATCACCATATCATTTTATGACGTTACATGTTTGTAAATTAGGGAAAGGTATTATGTTTCAGCAGTTACATTTTTGCCCTACAGGTGGATGGCAAAGGAATTCTCCAAGTTCCAGGAAATGAATGGACAATTTTTCGTCTTGGTCACCCAGGTCTCATAACACATATTGAAATAGACACCAACCATTTTAAAGGTATGGTCCTTAAACCAGCTTGCGGTTTAACCTGATCTATAGAATATACAATAGGTACAATCAAACCTTATGGAAGTGCTGGATGTACACAAGCAGAAGGTTCTGCTTAAATACACAATCCCTCTCTATCTGCTATTGCATGCAACCTGGCATGGATTCTCAGTGGTAGTCAAAAAGTGAACTTGAATTTCTTATCACCAATCCCTGTGGAAAGTTATTGGAAGGATCATGTATCAAATATTTATTTGTAAAACCGAGATT